TCACTCGAAATTCCTTGTCATTCATTTCAAGGGCTTCCTGTTCTATAGGATCTAGAGTTTGCGATTTATTAACTTTTGTTCTTGTACTTTCTTGGTTTTTTGTATTTCTGGTATCTTTTTTTGATATTTATTCATTTTGGCAGGGGGTTTCACAGTGCACAGGTTTGACCCTATTGGCTAACTAAGGTGTGGCTGTGTTTGTCAGTTTGGTATGGCTACCTCTGTGACTGCTCAGTTGGCTTCTAGTGTCTTGTGTGTGTGGTTGCCTTGGGTATTGGGCCTCTCTGGGGAGCCACCTCTCTGGTTAGCTTGGACTCTGCTGGGCTGCTGGATCATGCATTGTCAGCCCCACAGGGTGTGTGTTTTCTGCCGAGTCTCCGCCTCCCTAGCCGGACGCCTCCCCGCTCTGTGCACTCTAGACTGGGGTGGGGCGTGTCTTCTGCTACCCTCACCTATCAGCCAGGGCTTCAAGCCCCTGCTCAGCACCACCCCTCCCAGGAAGACTTTCAGGTTTCTGCTAGGTGCAGCCGTCCGGTTGCTCTGGGTGCCTTTGTAGCACTGTATAGGGCTTTCTCGGGACTTATCACCTTCCTCCTGGTATTGCAGTTATCTGTATACTTGTCTTATCTCCCACACCGGAACATGAGCTCCTCAGGGGAGGAGCCCACAGCACACAGTTCCTCTTTGATTCCCCCCGGCAAAGACCAACTCCAGCGCCCACCCACAGTCAGCTCGCCGGCAGGTTCAAGCGAGTTCGGGAGCGCTCCCATCACACTTTTCCTAACCATAAATTGGTTAGGCGTTTTTCCAAACTGAAGGCCGCAGAGATGGTATCTGCCTCCTGGTAACAGGAAGTTTATCGGGGGCTGGAGCCCAGGGTGCGGTGGAGTGACAATTGGCCTGGCCTGTTCTTCCTTGTCCTCCCGCTGCTGGCCGGGAGCTCCCCACACCACCAGCCCCGCCAGAGAACCGCAGGGGAAGTGGGATGTGAGGCCGGCCTGCAGACCCCAGGAGGCCCCGCACCGGGGCAAGGAAGTGGGAAGGCTCAGTGAGGAGCAGAGCCAGGTGAGGAGGGCAGGCCTGGCCAAGCTGGCCGGCTTCTCCCCGACCCAAGAAAATGGAGGCAGCCCCAGGCTGGTGACTGGCCTAGTGGGGCAGGCGGATGCCACATGGGCGTCTGCCCCACAAGCAGGGCCGGGCTGGGGGTCACTCACAGAGCTGGGCCGGCCAAGCGGCTCCCTCTCCGTTTCTGCATCATCCTAGCCACCACCGCCTTGGGCGCTCCCAGGAATCTTCTTTAATGTCGGCCCTAAACCTCGAATCTGTAGTTGCTTTTTTATAGTTGTAGATTAGTTGATCAAAGACTTATTCTTTTTTTGTTGCTCTTGGAAATGCAAATAGCACTCTGGCAGCACAGCGCATACCTCTCAGGCTCACGCTGTCTTCTGGCGCCCCTGCTCCAGACCCGTCGCCATCTTGACCCAGTTTCTGAGGCTGGGAAGTCCAAAGTCCATCTGGTGGTGGTGACAGCAACCCAGGGGTCGGCCACTTGACCTTTCTTTTCCCTGAATCATCTGCTCAGATCTTGGCACTGCAATGGGCTTCCTCCTGCCCTAGAAGCTGCCAGCATTTCCTCTGTGTGGCATCTGGGATCACCATGGCTCTCTCTGCTCTGCTGAGCCACTCCCCTCGCAGGTCTCCTCCTTCCTTTTCAGCATGCCAACTACCTCCCTCTAGCTCCACATTTGTGTATTTTTATTTGAGTCAAATTTAGTTCATTAAAATAAACACTGAAAGTGAATACATGGTTTTTGTTTGGTTTTTACTATTCAAATAAACAGCTTTCAGATTTATTAGTCTGTCAGTTCTGTCATTTTTCCCTCTCCTGATAATTTGAATTCATTTTGTGTGTGTGTGTTTAGTATATCCGTTCTCCTGTGAATCTTAGGTTTGTTATTATTTTCTTACCTTCTTATGATGAATAAGTAGTTTTAGAATATTTTGATATTTGGGGCCGGCCCAGTGGTGCACTGCTACAGTGCGCCGCTTGGGAGTGTGGCGGCGCTCCCGCTGAGGGTTCAGATCCCACATACAGACCGGCCGCTCACTGGCTGAGCGAGGTGCGGGCGCAACACCGAGGGTTGCGATCCCGTTGCTGGTCCCGGTCCCAGTCCGGTATGGGCGCGACACTGAGGGTTGCGATCCGTTGCCGGTCACGAAAAAAGACAAAAAGGAAAAAAAAAAAGAATATTTTGATATTTGTTGTATAATAATGACATATAAGGGTGTGAATTTGCTTTAGAAAAGAAATTTGACTCATCTGCTTTATTTTAGCAATTTAACTATGATGGACTTTAGTATGATTTTCTCCTCTTTTCTTTTTTATTCCCAGTTGGGGTTTGCCAATGTAATTGGGGTTCTTTAATCTGTGGATTGATGTATTATGTCCATTTTGGAAAATCCTTGGCCTTTACACCTTTAGTGACAGCTTCTGCCCCCTTCTCTCTGTCCCCCTCTGAGTCCAATTACCCGTATGCAGTTTTGATGAAGCTCATCCATCTCTGCTTCTTCTGTCTTCCTCAGGGAAGACCCTTCAGGGATTTGGATGGAAATTCTAGTAGGTCATTGGTCAAGCATGAGAGACTGTGGCAAATCCACTTGTGACCTTTGGAGGTTTCAACTTTCTGCTGTTCCACCCACTCCCTGCAGCTTTAAAATATGGCAAAAATGTTAAGGGACCCATCAGCAGCCCTGTCCCTCTGGGGAAAGATTATCTCCTAAGCACTTTGAGATTCAGGCAGATTCTACTCTGACTTTTAGGAACACTTGGCCTGGCTCCTCAGTCCTCCACATTTGTCCCCAGAATACAGAGAATGTCCTGTGGAAAACACCGGCCATGTCAGTGCTTCTTGATTTGTGTGATCTCTCACACCAGCTCCAGTCCTGAGTGACCAACCAATACGTCCCCGGTTTCTCAGTCCCCCGTGTGGGCCAAATGTGATCATTAGTCCCTGCTGAGAATTAGCAAAAACCCTGCCCTAGATGTCTCCCCCTCTGAAATTCCAATTCATGTAATTATTGTTTCAACAACTCTATTATGCCCTCTGGTTTATACAACGATACATGCTTTGATTTTTGTTCAATTACACATCAGTTTTGAAGCTCTTTTCATTACCAATAGGTGACTTCCTTAATTTTTATAAAAGTTAATAATATATGTTTATGTAGCTTGTTATTTCTACACAGACACTGGCTGGTTCTCAATCTTTTGCTACCCAAACCTGCGCAAATGAATATAGAGATAAATTTAAATGGACCCAGTACAAAAGGCTTGAGAACTTGGTCCAAACTAAGACTGATAGCAAAACTGGGGAGGTAGTCAGATAATATGGTAAAATAAATATTTTTAAATTGTACACTTTTTCACATGTGAATAGTTATTTGAAATTTTTTAGGGAGGTAAGTCATACTTAGAAAAGATTACAATGAATGTTTTAACTTTAAATAGTAATGTCATATAAACTCTGCAGACAGGACACACACTGATGAATAGACTGGGCAGATATTAGGCTCCCAGTGTGCCCATCCTGATCTCATTTCCCTCCTATCCCCAGATGTGACACTATCAGAAATTTTATAGTTTTCTTTTTGTCTTTACCATCTATTATGTATCATTAAGAAGTATTTTCTTTAACTTTGCCTCTTTTAAACTTTCCATGAAAGGATATTAATGGAATTACCCTGAACATGACTGTCATTGGTTTCTCTGCCTCAGCCTGTTCCACACATGCTAGTTTTGAGACTGTAGGTCATCCAGCTGACCATCCATTCCAACGCTTATAACGTTTGGGCAGTTTCAAGTTTATTTTCTGCTCTTCTGAAAATGCTGCTCCTATAAGTCATATTTGTTTTCAAATGCCCACATATACCAAGCCTCCAGATGGTCCTGGGTCAGCTGGGGCTGTGAGGTAGAAGGAAGGCTGGAGGCTGAACCCTTGGCAGGGTGGCCTTCGGGGTGGCGGAGTTGCGGCAGAGGCCATGGACGGGGGCAGGTTGCCACGGGTTAAGGGTCCAGAAGGGCAGGAGGCATGGGCAGGTGCCAAAAGCAGAGGGGAGCATGGCCAAAAGCCTACAGCACCCAGTATTCCTAGGCGGACTCCCGTGCAAGTACTAACCAGGCCCGACCCTGCTTAGCTTCCAAGATCAGATGAGATTGGGTGTAGTCAGGGTGGTGTGGCCGTAGATGCTGGTGGCTGCCCATGGGTGCCTAAAGAGGCCATGCTGTGGTGGCCCGACCCACCAATGCCCCATTCTGCCCTCCTGAGGCTGCTTTAAGGTCGCGGGGATCGAGCCCTACACCCTGGGACAGAGGAAAAGACAGACGTGCGTGCACCCCAACACACCAAGGACATGCACCAAGATCCAGAGCCAGAGGTGGCAGAGTGAGGGGTCTGGCTCATCAGGGCAGCATCTCTTACCAGTGGCTGGGGTGGCTTTGGTTTGGTTGGGATGAGGGGGTGATACCCGAGACCCCTCACAGCACAGAGTGGGCACCTTTTCCATCCTGCAGGTGCTGACAGGTGGGGCTCAGATGGGGGTGCCAGGGCCCCCTGTGTTGCCTGCAGGGGCCTGTCTGTGGGACACTGGCCAAACCGTATCCCAATAAACCAATAGGAGCATGTGGAAAACCAGCAAACCCAAAGGGCCACTGCTGGAGGAGTGTGTGGAGGACACAGGACCCGGCTGCACCCCATCTGAGCTGGACCCTCCAGGGAGTGAGCGTGGGCGGCTGGGTGACCCTGCAGGAGGCTGAGCAGCCTGGCATGCTGTTGGTGGTCAGAGAGCCTGGGGGTGGGGGGAAGCCACAGAGAGGTGTCCAGTGCCCTCTGCCTGGGACCTGGGGAGTCAGGTGGTAGCTCCTGTAACATGGATGGCACTGGGGACCTGGGTAGGGGCTCCTCTCCCCTCTTCCACAGATGCTCCAAATGCCTGCTCCCGGGGAAGATGGCGGGAAGTGCTCTGGGCATCACGGCCCCTGCCCTCCCTCCTACCCCGTGTCCTGTGGCAGGAGAGCCCCTGGACTCTGATGGAGGTTCCAGAACCTCTGGTGGAGGTTCCAGAATCAGAGCTATCTCTGACTGGGTGGCCTCCCAAGGTCGTCCTGTCCTGGGGCAGCGCTAAGGCTGGTGGGCTGCGGTCGGAACTGCCGGGCAGGTGAAGACGTGGCGGTGGGGGTGGTCTCTGCTTCTGGCCAGCCCAGTGGGAGGATGGTGCGTGGGCAGTGAAGCCGCCCCAGCCCCCTGGCTGCCTGTGTGCAATTCCAGTCCCCTCCTCAATTGAGCTGGCCTGTGCCACATTTGGTCAGACCCCCTGTCCTAGACATTGATCTGACTGCTGGCCACTTTAAAGCATCCTCTGCCCTTTCTGGAGCTTTCATAAAACTGACATCCTGGCTTCCCCCAACCACCCTCCAACACACACATGCTGTTCACTGCCAGCGGTTGCTCCCTGCTGGGAAGCCTCTGAGCCATGACCTCCGTGTCCACAAGTGGGCTTCGGGCCGCGTGTGGGGCCCTGAGCAGTGGGCAGCTGGGCGGAGGCTGGCCCTGTGCTGTCCTCACCCTGTTGACATGGGGGAACTCAGCCCCCAGAGTGCTGAGGCTGTGGGGAGGACTGGGGACTCCACAGGAGGCTTCTGCAGGCCCCTGGAGTCACCCCTCATTGCTGGGGCTGGAGGAAGTGGGGCCTCTGAGCTCAGGACCCACACTTGGAGGAGGGCGGTTTATGGGGATCCCACACCCCATCTGCGAGGCCGGGGCCTGAAGGAGCATGTGGTGCCCTGACAAGGGGAGTGGCCGGCCCTGGCTCTGTCCTGCCCCTTCCTCGGCTGTGACCTGGGCAGTTTGGTTACCCTGTCTGTGCCCCACACTGCTGAGCAGTCTGAGAGGCGCTGAGGGGCCACCTTCATGGAGCCCCCAGTCCAGTGAGCCAGGAGTGCTGAGAACTTGGCTGCAGGGTTTGGGAGGACCCCGAGGCTGGCCTGTGTACAGGGGATGTGAGTGTGTGCGCATGCTCCAGGTGTCACCTGCACGTGCCCAGTGTCTGTCTGCCAGGCCGGGTGCTGTCAGCCATTGGTGGCTCAAGTTTGCAGGGACCCAGCACCCAGGCTGAGTGCCCAGAGGGTAAAGGGAGCAGTGAGTCTGAGGCCCTTGGCTTGCTGGAGTCTGGCTACAGGGGTGAGAGCCAGAGAAGGGCTGTGCCTGCCCAGGAAGGCTGCCCCACCCCCACGGCAGCATCAGCCCTCATGCGTGTCCTCCAGCGGGCATCACTCCTCCTGCTGTGGCCTCCTCCACTCTCATGGCACCAAGGGTCCTGTGCTGTACTGGCCTCTGCCAAGGCAGCTGCTGCCTCCCGAGGCGGATCAGAGCAGGGCCATCAGCTTCTCACAGGGATAGGGGTGTGCAGGGGCCATGGGGGGCACCTTGTCCTGCTCTCACCCCTCTGGTGCTGTGCTCCGGGTTCACAGGAGGCAGGGGCTTGGGAATTGGGCTCACAGGCCTGACAATGGCCTCCAGTGGCCCCCAAGTACCTGCAGATGCTGGTTCTTAGGTCGGGATCTCTAAAGACAGAAGCCGTGTGGGGATTTGGGTGCTCTTGGGAGGATGTCAGAAGCAGGCGCCTTGGCCTGGTCCAGCGTGAGCTCTAGAGAATGAATTGCACTGGGGGTCATGCAGCGAGGCTGCAGTCACTGGCCCAGGAAGCCTGTGTGACCATCCAGGCACCTCATATCAAGGGTGTCTTGGTGGGGGTACTGGAGTGGGGAGGAGCTGGAGTCTGGTGTGGCCTCTCCCCTGTGGCCACATGGGCTCCAGGTGCTGCTCCAGCCTGCTCCCACCAGACAGGCTACCAGAGACCCCTTGTGCTCAGCTCCCACCAGCTCAGTGCCCACAGCCACATGTGGTGGCCTCTGTCACTGAGTGCCCTTCCCTGCGAGCCTCCCTGCAGGGCAGGCCTCCTCAGAGGAGGAACAAAGGCATTGGCTGCCTGCAATGGGGTCCTTCATGCCCCCTTTCTTGGAGTGACACTCCAGGCAGCAGATGGGAGGGAGGAGTTTGCAGGGAGGGGGAGGCCGGGGTGGGCTGGGGTGGTGACATCCCAGGGGAGGGACCTTTCATAAGCTCGGCCTTCCTGTGGCCACAGCAGGACCAGGGCACACCAGAGCACCAGGGGAGTGAGGGGCGCTGTCCTCAGAGCAGGAATGTTGGTGACTCACCACAGTCCTGGAGCCACCTGAGGACCCGCTTAGGTCCATGATCTGAGGAGGACCTGGGCCTGTCAGAAAAGTCCGGTTGGGAGCTGGGCTCCTGCAGGGATGGAAGAACTCAATGTAGAGGGCTGGGCTATGGCTGGGTAGGACCAGGTGGGGCCTAGAGACCTGGGCTGCCCAGGTTCTCATATCTCCTGGAGGTGCAGGCAGAGAGGGGCTGTGTTCACAGCTGTGACCACTGTGGCCCTGGGAGGGGTGCCACTGAGTCAGGGCAGGTTTCTGGGTTTGGTGGTGGAGGGGGGTGTCTGGCTTCAGAGCATGGATGAGGAGGGTGCAGGGACCCAGGAGAGCTCTTGCAGCTGTGCACTTGCTGCCTCTGTGGTCAGCTCAGGGCGGCCTGGCTGCCAGTGCCTGGGTCTCTGCCATGGATGGCCCATTGCTGGGCCAGCTCAGGGGTCCTGTATTCAAACTCCCTGGAAGGGAACAGATATGGGGCAGGGGTGTATCAGCTGTCAGTGGGTCGTCGCCTCAGGGAGGGGCTGGTCCCCGCATGAGAATACCCCTGAGCACGCACTGGGAGGGGACGTGCAGTGGGAGGTCCTCTGTTCAGCTGGTGGGTGCGGGTGGGTCTGGATCTCTCAGGAGCCTAGAAAGAGGACCATGGAGCCTACCATGTGGGGGCCGGAGCTCAGAGGTGGGCAGGGGCTGCACTCATCACACCCAGCTCAGCACCGAGAGCTGTAGGGCCCAGTCACAGAGTGCCCTGGGCCGAGGGCCCCATGTGAGCAGTGTGGGCAGGTGCACCCCATCTGGAGACAGTCGCCTGCCTCAGCATTTCTCCTTCAGCCACGCCCCACCCTCCCTGCCACTCCAAGTGGTGCCTTTGGGCACCGGTCCTGGTCACTCCAGCCTCCTCTGTGTCCCCATCGGCCTCCCTTCCGAACATCCTGAGTCTGGCCTTGACTCCCAACCCCTTCGAGTGAGTCTCCAGCCCCCACAGCCACCAGAGAGACCTGGACCACAGCCCTCCAGCGGCCCCGTGCACCTCCTCGCCCCAGCCTCAGGGCCCCCCCGGCTGACTTGCCCACTTTCCACTATCATCTGGGCAACTCCCGCTCACCTCAGCAGGGTCTCAATGTCCCTTCTGCAGTGAGATCCAGGCTGGGGCTGGCAGGGACTCCACATGTGTCCAGCAATTGGACGGTGCCTGCAAAACTCATGCACGGCCTCAGCCCCTGCAGCCTGAGGACGCCCACGAGCAGGGGTCCAGGGACATGCCTGTCCTGGCCACCACCTGTGCTGGGTGTGGAGTGCTGGGGCGCAAGCTTCTGTTGTCACTCTCAGCAGCCCCCAGAGGTGTGGACGCCAATGCCAGAAGGGTGATCAGCTTGCGGGCAGCCGCCCCAGTGTTGCCCCAGCTCTGGCCCCAGATCCACCAGGCTTGGGTGTCTGGGGGCCTCTGGCTGCCCAGCCATGAGGCCATGGACAGAGAAGCTCTTGCTTTGTGGTCAGACAAAGCATGGACAGATGGACAGGCAGATGTCTGGATGACCATGGCCTCTCCTCCTCCTGTAGGCTGCACACCATGGGCTCCCACATGTGCCCCCGCCTCGGCTTCTACCTCTGGCTGTGTCTGGGCGCTGCCCTGGGACATGGGCAGGGACAAGGTAAGGACGTGGGGGAATTCTTGGGGACATCACCCCCTGCCCCCAGGCCACACCTGCCCAGGGCAGTGCCCACTGCAGGACGAGCCCTCTCCTTTCCCCAGTAGCCATTTTTCTCCTGAATTGAACGTGTACTTAATTAAGAGCATTTCCAACTATTAAAACCAGAAGACAGGACAGACAGGGTGCGCCCGGCCGAATCCCCACTTTCAGGTCTTGGTTTGACCTTTGGCCTTGTGATCTTTCAACTTTGCCTTGGGGATGCTTTAGTGTGTTTTCTGTTTTTCTATGTTTTATTAACACGCCATGCATTTGAATCTGTGTTACATCAATGTTTTGAGTGGAGGTGTTCCACGAACACCTTTTCAGTGTAAGATCCTCGAACAGCACAGATCTGGAGCAGACGGCAAAGACCCTCAGCCCCTCCTTCCCCCAGGAAAGCTCTGCCCGTCTGTCACCCTCTAGGCATCCTGGTGCGGCCAGGGCACGTGGTCTGTGGCCACACCGAGGACTGCCTCACCTGTCCCCTTCCTGCCTGGCTGGGGGCAGGGGGTGCAGGCAGGGCACAGACAGAGTCTACGCAGCCCCGTAGGCAGTGCTTACTTTCCCCACAAGCTGGATGCTCGTGATTTTGTCTCTCAGTCAAACTGGGGTCTTCAAAGGGAGGCCTCTGCCTGCCCCACCAGACCTGGAACTGAAGGAAGTAGCCCCCTCCTCAGATTGGGCACACCTCCTCAGGTGGGGTCCTCAGGTCCAGGTCCCCATCCTCTCCTCCTTGTACAGGGCCCTGCCATGTCTCCCCAGTGGACTTGGGGGCTGCTAGGATGGGGTCTTCCCCACCAGTGCAGGGCCTTAAGGGTGGGGCTGTGCCTCCCCCACTAGACTGGGGGTCTCAGCCTGTGGTGGTCTCACTGTGCTGACCATGCTGGGAGGCCGGCAGGTGAGAGGGGGCCTTTGTCTCCAGAGAACTCCTGGTTGGTAAGGACAGTGAGGCCCCAGCCCAGAGCAGCCAAGGGCAGCCCAAAGTCCATTCTCTCTCCCTCGGCGGCACTGCCTGGAGCTGTCCGCGGTGCTGACCCCACCCCATGGGCAGTGGGCCTGGCTGTCTGATGTGTCGAGACCTCCCAGCCCTGCGGGGAAGGCACACTCCCGTGTAGACAGCCACGCACAGCAGCCAACACCGCCTGGCCTTTGGAGGGCAGAGGCAGCCCCTGGCACCGAGTTGCCATTTCAGCCATTTTTTATCAACCTCTTCTGGGAGGGCTTAGAAGGGCTGAGACCCCCAAAGGGGCCCATGTGAGATTGTCCAAGTTTGGTGAGACCCCGGGCTCTCAGAGTCCCTTCTGCCCCCACAGACTCACCGTGGCCACCCTACTCTTCAGGCTGGAATGCCGTGGCCCCACCCTCCACCAACCTCGGTGTCAGGGGCCAGGCAGGGCAACTTGGGGGTCTTGTAGCACCAACAGGCCTCGCCAGCACCTCACCCCTCCCTGACTGCCCCAGCTGGCCCCCAGTTCCACTGCACGCACCCCATGCCTGCTGACATGGTCTTCCTGGTGTATGGGTCCTGGAGTACTGGCCACAGTCACTTCCAGCAGGTCAAAGACTTCCTGGCCAGTGTCACTGAATCCTTTGAAATTGGGCCCGATAAAGTCCAACTAGGTGGGTACAGTCGCCCACGCCACCCCCACTGTATCAGCCCCGCCTGGACGCTGATCCTCATAATTCCTTACAAGCTGAGGGACAGCCGTCTCCCCCAGTACGGATGGGAGGAGAGACCTCCCCTCACTGTGGTTGCTATGGTCTGAGTCACTAAGTTCTCCGCCTGGGCCAGGGCAGGGGTGCGGGTGGGGGCACGGCTCCTGACTTGGTCTGGTGGAGCAGCTGTCCCTGAGTGGGGGTGTCGGTGGCTCCTCTGTGTGCAAGCCCTGGGCTTTGCAAGCACATGCCTCTCCCTGGGGATGGGCAGCTGTCTGCGTGCACAGCAGCAGCTCCTGGCCTTTGTAGGGCTCCATGGAGGACACAGAGACAGCCCTGCAGCCATGCCATGCCCCTCCCCACAGGCCTGACTCAGTACATTGGAGACCCCCAGACCGAGTGGGACCTGAACTCCCTCAGCACCAAGGAGGAGGTGCTGGTCACCATGCGCAGGCTCCGCTACAAGGGAGGGAACGCGCTCCCAGGTGTGGCTGGCGTGGCCACGGGGGGAGGTCTGCCCACGTCTGCCCTGCCTCCCCCTCCTCCCCCTCCTCTGTTCAGCCTCCCTGCACCCTCCCACTCTTAAGACCTGTGTGCAGAAGACTCTCCAAGTGGGGCTGTTGACGCTGAGCCTGGTGTGAGACGGGCAGGGCTGCCCCTTGTCTGTCCTCAGCAGGGATGTGGGCCTCTGCCGGGCAGTCTCGCTGGACCGAGTGGCTCCTCCGACCAGTAGCAGCTGCCACCTGGGTCCACACCCCTGCCCAGCTGGGCTGTTAGCCTTGTGAGTGGGGCCCCCCTGGGGGACTGGGCATGGCCTTGCTTGCTCGCAGGCAGACCCCTGATGCCCCCAGCCTGGAGGGGCAGGACGGGCTTGGGCGGACAGAGAGCACTGGGTCCAAGCGCCAGCGGAGCAGCCGTGCCTGGGGAGGGGACACTCACAGTTGCCTACCATTTTAATCCTGCTGCCCCCAAGGTCTCACCCTGACCCACGTGCTGGGACAGAACCTGAAGCCAGCAGCGGGTCTCCATCCGGAAGCGGCCAAAGTAGTGATTCTGGTGACGGATGGCAAGTCCCAGGATGGCATGCACACGGCTGCCCGCGTCCTCAGGCACCCAGGTGTTAATGTGTTCTCTGTGGGTGAGTGCCATGGCTCAGGCGGGCTCCAGGCTGCAGATGGGGGTTTGCATCCTGGCTTCAGCCCTCTCAGCTGGACAACAGTGTGGGCACTGGGCCTCTGGGCCTCAGCCTCTGTATCTGCGACCGGGGGAGGACTCCCTACTCTGCAGAGCAACATGCGGAGCCAGACACCTGCCTGGTGCTCAGAGGTGACCGCACCTGTGGGCACCACCCTGTGGCTGCTCCCTGCTGAATCGGCCAGGGCCACGGTATCATCTGCAGACCCCCTGCCCCCAGCCTCCCTGCTGCGTGACCCTCTGTTGGCCCTCCCACCTGGCCCTAGTCCCTGCCGAGACCCAGGTCCCCTCAGGGGACACTGATCGGAGGCCTGTGAGGTGACTCCTGCAAGGGCTCCTGGTGATCCCACTTGTTAGGTGGGACAGTGGTCACAGGGTGGGCCGGTCAGACACCTCCTTGCCCCCCACCCCATGAGCAGATGTGAAGAATGCTGAGAAGCTGAGCTGAAGCTTCTGGCATCCTGGCCGCTGGACCTCACCGTCCAGCACATGCTGGATTTCCCACAGCTGCACACACAGCCGGCCTGCTCAGCCACCTTGTCTGTCAGAAGGTCCAGGGCAGGAGTCCACAGAGGGTCCTAGGTGAGGGGCGGGGTCTCCCACACTGGCAGCTTTGGGCAGGAGGTCGGAAGCTGTGGCTCCCGTGTGGCACACGGGGAGGCTGGCCCTGTGAGGCTGGTCCTCATGGCTCCGAGGGCATCTGCAGCCCCCACCTGGGGGACCTCTGCTGGTGGAGGGGCCCGTGGGAGCGATTTTCCTGTCCTTTGCGTAAGTGTCCACTGGGGGAGCAGCTGAGCCACTAATGCTTGCTACCCGCTGGGACTGCTGACCACTGCCCTCCCCACTCACAGGCACACCAGCAGCAGCTGCTCCAGCCCTGCACCCCCTCCCAGCGCCCACCAGCCTGGTCTTGACCCATGTGACCTCCTCCAGTGTCCACCTGTTCTGGACTCCAGCCCCACAGCCGCCCCTCAAGTACCTTATCATGCGGTGGCCTTCCAGTGGTGGCACCCCCAGGGAGGTTAGGGGCAGCACTTGGCCTCCCCTCCCTGGGCTGTCTCCACTAGGACCATCCTTGAGATGAGCCACTAAGTCCATGTTGAGAAAAGAGCAAGGCATGCGGTGGGGCGGGGCCGTCCAAGTGCAGGGTAGAGCCACAGCACTGGAACGAGGGTACAGGTGCGTCCCCACAGACCACAGGACAGAAGAGACACCAGCACGTGGTCCTGCGGAGAGGCTTCTCCTGAACCGATCGAGCAATTGATTGTTTATTGTGGGCCTGCCTCACCTGCCGTACCAGGCGGTGCCGGGACCAGCTGTGGAGGAAGCGAGGCTCCTCAGGTCCCCTGAGCCAAACCTGCCCAGCTCCATCCTCACCTCCTCCTCTGTTCCAGGTGGTGCAGGAGGGGCCCGCCTCGTCCACGGAGCTTCACAACCTGACCTCCAGCACTAAGTACCTGGTCTCCGTGTTCCCAGTCTACAAGGGTGGAGTCAGCGAGGGCCTGTGGGGCCTGGTGACCACAGGTAGGTGACTCAGGGTGGAGATGCCCCCCACTCTTGGCCTCTCCTCAGACCCTGGCACCCAGGACTGGCAACACCTCCACTTGCTGTGTGGCCAAGGCTGAGTCACTGGGCCACTCTGACCTCAGTGTCCTCTTCTGAACACGAGCACTGCCATTGGTGTCATCACCACAGCTGTGACATCCTCCTCCTCCGGCTCACACTGTTTCCAGAGTTCCCACCTGCCTGGCCCCCAGCTCACTGGGTTCTCTGCACCCCCACCTGGGGCTGCCGTGAGCCCCTATGGTGGCGCTGTAGAGAGAGAGCCACATGCCATACAATGTGCCCCCTCAACGTGTGCCATCCTAGGCAGGCAGTGCATGCAGAGCCGCACAAGTGTCACCACGGTGCACTGCAGAGCATTTCACCCCCCAAAAGGGAAGCCCCACACCATAGCTCTCAGCCCCCAAAACTCCCCCAGCCCCTGGAAACACCACATCTGCTTTCTGTTACTGGGTTCCCCTGTTCTGGACATTTCGTACGAATGGAATCATACGATGGGCGGCCTTGTGTGTCTGACTTCTCCCTGAAGTCCTTTTAACTCCCTGGACGCCATGTCCCTCCCACTCTTGGGACAGACGGCCTTAAACAGCATATGGAGTGGCCTTGTTGCCCCTAGAGCTGTGAACCAAAAAAACTTGGTCCAAGATGAGGTTTGGGAAAGCTGCTTAGACTCCCGTGCACCTGTGGGGTGGTGGCCCCCTGTGGCGTTTCCAGCAAGGCACAGCCCCAGGGCCTTGACTTACTGAGATCCTCTTGTCATTTGACGAGGCCCCTTGTTTGTGGGTATGATTTCTGCGTGTGCTGTTTCTAGAGTGCCCCCTGACTGTCACCCCTGCCCCCTGAAGCGCCTCTGCCCCCACCCCGGGTGCTGACCCTGGCTGCAGTGACGCCCAGAAGTGCACGCCTCACCTGGCAGCCCTCTGCCAGGGCCTCCCAGTACCTGGTGCAATGCCGGCCCACCTCCCCCAAGGGCGAGCAGGAGGGCAGAGAGGTGCATGGGCCAGGAGGGGGCAGATAGGGGTGGCGGAGGTAGGTCGGGGGGGGCTGGGCCTTGATGCAAGTCCCTCCGGGTGTGGGTGGGGAGACCTGAAGTTGGGCAGGGGCTACAAGGTCTCGGTGCAGAGCCTGCGCGGGTCGGAGGCCAGCGAGGCACAGGGCATCCACACCAGGACCCGTGAGTCACAGGGCGGTGCCCTTCTGGTTCCCGGGGTGCCTTCTCAGTCCCAGCTATTGCTCTGCTGGCAGAGGGGGCAGCCCTGAGGCCTTTCTGTGCTCTGCAGCCATACTGCACCCTCCGAAACACCTGCACTTCTCGGATATGAGCCATGACTCAGCCCGTGTGGTCTGGGAGGGCAGCCTGAGGCCCCTGCGCCTGGTCAGGGTCAGCTGTCTCCAGCGAGGATGGCCTCTCAGGGCAGGTGAGAGCAGCTCCTGGGGGGCAATTGGGGGGCCAGTGTCTCCGAGGCCTGATACCCCCAGCCGCCTCCACTCATGCCCATATTCACAGGTGCAACCTCCAGGCTGGTGCAGGACCTGGCACAGGGCAGCATGACCCATCCCTGCCCTCAGGGGCCCCAGTCTGGCAGGAGGGGGTGGGGGATGTGAGGCAAAGACAAATAAACACACAGAATGGCAGCGTGAAGAGGGTGCATGGGCGTGTGCAGGGAGGGGTGGGCCAGGCAGGGAGGCCCCATCCCAGGGGCTGTCTTGGGTTCTGTGGTCAATCCCATCCCCCAGTACATGCCCATTTTCCCCGTTTTTTGGGGGGGCCATGTCATCCTGGCTGCAGCCCCAGGCCTGTGTCCCTATCCCAGCAGGGGCTCCAGGCGCCTGCTGAGCCTGCCCCTGTCACCCCCACTGCAGACGGAGCCTCCTGGGAATGCCACCTCAGCCACCCTGGGCCCTCTCTCCTCCTTGACCACGTACACGGTCCACATCATCTGCCTCTACCCCAAGGGCGGCTCCTCCACACTGACTGGCCACGTGACCACGAGTGAGTAGGGAGAAATCTGGGGCTACGTCCTTCTGTCCTGCTAGGTGGTTAAACCCACAAGTGTATGTTCGGCATGTGCCTGGAAGGTGTGACTGGTGGGGCTGCGGGTACCTCCAAGGTGAGACGTGGGGCCCAGGGATGCCACAGTTCAGGGACTACACCCTGAGCTTCTGTCTCCTGCTTCCATCTTCCAGAGAAAGCCCCTATCCCAAGCCAGTGGTCAGTGACGGAGCTGCAGGGGGATAAGGTCTGGCTGGCATAGGCGACCTCATCTGGTGTGCTGGTCTACCAGAGCAAGTGGATGCCCCTAGGTGAGGGGAAGGTCCCCTCGAGTGGTGGGCTTGTCCTTCAGAGGAGACCCCCTCACATGCCCCAGCTCCTGGACCTAGAGCCCTGAGTGTGCCCACCCCAGTCCTGCATCTGGGGGCCCTTCTTGCCCACAGCCTGTGATCCTGGTGGACATCTGAGCCCTTCTCTCCCCAGATCTCTGTCCCAGGAAACCTCAGCACAGTTGTCCTGTCTGGCCTGGGAGGCACGCTGCATACGAGGTGACCATCCTGGCCTACTACAGGGATGAGTCCTGCAGTGACCCTGTGTCTCTCCACTATGCCCCCCATAGGTGGCTCCTCCTCTTCCCCTCAGCTGGGCCCAGGACAGGAACAGCCCAGAGGGGACCCCAGATCCACCCGGGTCCACAGGCCCAAGACCCCAAAACACCATAACCACTGGCAGGCAACTTCCTGAGTCCCTGCCACTCTGGGCCTGATTGCTGGGGTCTGATGGGGCCCTCCTGAGCCCACACCGGGGGACAGGTGTTCCTGGGGTGGTCAAGGATGAAAACCACTTGTGGGTGGCAGTCTGTGGGCAGAAGCAGCTCAGGCAGTGGGGCCTGGCGGGGGGTGGAGAGCTGTTCGGTTTGTCCCCTGGATGCAGGGCACCCCCTCCTTGGAGAGCCCTGAGCCCCATGCTGCTGGTGCTTTTGGGCAGCTGCAGTGAGCAGGAGCCCCCATTCCAGACCGGCCCTGGCCTTAGAGACCCCCAACAGCCTGCAGGTCAGTGGGACGCCTCCAAGTGGCCACGTCCTCCACTACCGGCTCACCTACGCACAAGCCTCTGGCTTGGGACCAGAGAAATCGGTGAGTCTTGGTAGAGCTGGAAGCTGCCACCCTTCATGGGGCCTCCTGGGGTCCTGGGGGGGCAACAGGGGACACACAACTCCCCTGTCCATAGAGGGTGGCAGTTCTTCTATGGTGGGACGCACAGACAAAAGGGAGCTGAGCCGCAGAACTGGGCAAAGACACTCCAGGAGGGGTGTCTCAGGTGACCCCTGTTTCCCACCCTCCCAGATCTCTGTGCTAGGACCCAGGAGACTTGTGACACTCCCCAGCCTGCTGGCGGCCACCAAGTACAGGATCCTGGTCTCACTATCTATGCAGCAGGAGAGAGCATGACAGTGTCTGCCATGGGCCAGACAGGTGAGTGGGCACCAGGAACCTAGATCCAGCAGGCCCTACCGGACCCACCAGGACCCCAGACACAGCCAGACCCCAGACTCAGCTGGACCCCAGACCCAGCCAGGATCCCAGCCCCAGCCAAGATCCCAGCCCCAGCTGGATCCCAGACCCAGCCAAGCTCCCAGCCCTAGCCAGACCCCAGCCCCACTAGGTCCCAGCCCCAGCCAGCCCTCCAGAAGCCCAGACCTGTGGGGCCACCCAGTGGGGATGTGTGAGGACACAGTGGGGCTGTGGGGAAAGGGGACTTGGGCCTGTGTGTATTGGGGGTGAACGGTACCCACTCCCCACACTTGGCCCAGCACTGCAGAACTTAACAAGAGGGAGAGCAGGGTTTTCCCATGAAACTTTCCCGTTCTAGAATGCCAACCCCTAGTTCAAGGGTTGAGACCATGACCAAATAAACAAAACACTCCCGCTGGCAGCGGTCAGCTGTCCCCTCCTTGCGGATGCCCAGTCCACAGGAGCTGAGCGAGTGGATGCGGATCACAGACGTGAAGGGCAGGCGGGGGTCACAGGCAGTCAGACATAACTCAGGAGAATCCCAGCTGGCCTCGCCCTGGGTGCTCCGAGGACGTGGACGTGGTCTCACCTGTCCCTAGGGTCCTCTCCAAGGCCCAGGTGCAGCCAAGAGGGACCGCTGCTTGTTGTTTATGCCGGTTTCCTTGGATAACCGCAGAGCAGGAGGTCCTCGGAGGCCATTCAGCCAACCACCACAGCTTCCCTCTGGTGCCCTGCCATGGGGTCCTCTGGTTTGTGCTTGAATGTCCTGGGGATGGGTCCCCATTAGTCAGTGGACAGCTCTGCAGCTAGTGCCTTTCCCATGTGAGGGGGAGCTGCTTCTCCTGGTGGGGGCCATTCCTGCCTTCCCGTGGCCGTGTACACTGCCAAGCACCTGGCCGAGGAGCAAGCCATCCCCAGGCCCCAGGATGGCACGTGCTCCCGAGTCTGCTCATCTGCCAACCCAGGCTCTCCTCAGCCCTCCATGTGGGGGCATGTCTGTGGCTGTTGCACTCTCAGGGTGCGTCACCCAGCAGGAGCCCCTGGTTGGCCCTGGACCCACTGTGCTCTGTCTTCCCTGGGGGTGGGCCTGGTGGCACCTTCTCACTCAGTGAGATTCCAGGGGTGGCAGGCCCACCGCTGTCCCCTTCCCCATCCTGGAGGTGTGAGGACCACAGGCCTCGAGGGCCAGCTAGGGGGCAGGCAGACGGGTGCGGCACAGACCCTTCTATGGGCCTCAGCGCAGCGTTCACAAAGCCGCCCCTCCCGGTGTCCAGTTAGGCACAGTGAGGGCCAGGCCGCCCCCCACTCACCTGGTCTGTCTGTGTCCTCGCAGCAGCCTGCCTGGCCCTCCACCCAGACATTTCCCTCCCAGGCGGGTCCTGCTCTGGGCTGACAGTCGCTGTCCTTCCCTCACCTGCTCCCATACCTGCCTCACCGTCTCTCAGGCTGTTCCTGGGGTGTGGGGGCCAAGAGGATTGTGACCTGGGACCCGGCCACAGGGGACGTTAGAGGGTGCTCAGGCAGGGCTTGCACCTTTGCAGGACAGTCCCCACAAGGTTGGCAGGGCAGTTTTATTCCTGCTTCACAGTTGGGGGAAATGAGGCTTGTCCAAGGTGACTGCCAGGATGTGGCTCGGCAGAGGCAGAGCTGGGGGCCCTTTTCCAGCCCCCATGTGAGGCTCCCGGTTGGCAGGGCAGTTTTATTCCTGCTTCACAGTTGGGGGAAATGAGGCTTGTCCAAGGTGACTGTCAGGATGTGGCTCGGCAGAGGCAGAGCTGGGGGCCCTTTTCCAGCCCCCATGTGAGGCTCCCTGCTGACCAGGAGCTGGGTGCTGTGAGGTGCCAAGCCTGGGGCTCCTCATACCTGCTGTGGGAGAGCTGAAGCCCTCCCCAGAGAGAGGGGCTGAGAGGCGGACGCTTGACTGGAGGGACTAGGGATGTGATCAGGGGACTCTGTCCTGAGCAGGGGGTGGCACCCTGAGACTGCAGGCAGGCTCAGCCATCTTCAGGGCTGTGAGTCTCACCGGGAGCCCCCAGCAATCAATGAGGCCCCTGTGGGGCTTCTCTGAGCCCATTGTGGGGAAGGTGGAGACTGCAGGGACAGTGAGGACTATGGGGACGGCGGGGCAGGCAGGGCAGGCAGGGCAGGTGGGGCCATTGGGGCTGCTGTCGTGAAACAGGCCTTGAAAGGGCTGGCGCCTCTGCCGCCTCCTGCCCCTGCGCCTGCTGGCAGTGCTGATAAGCACCAGTGTAAATGAATTTCACCCTTCACTTTGTGCCAATTAATTCTGGAGGAGGAGCTGGGAGCTTTGAGGACTGGCTGCTGGCTCCTGAGGCTCTGCTGGTCCAGGCGCGTGGGGCTGGCAGAGAATTGGGGCCATCGTGGGTCCTCAGACTGGCTGGAACAGAAGGCTGCAGTGCCAGGAGGGAAACTCATGAGCGGAATCTTCCTTGGGGAGAAAAACAAACCTTGAGGGCTGGGGTGGTGGCAGAGTGGGCACTGCAGGGGCTCTGCTTGCCGGGGGCTCGATGTGTGGGGCTGGGTGCCAGGGGTCCAGCCCTGTCCACCTCTAGGCCTCCTAAGCTGGGGTATTTCCCCAGCATCAGGAGTGGGGCTGAGGGACAGGGGGACGGCGTGGTTTGGGGTGGGAGCAGGCATGCCCAGCGGGGGGCTGGATTTTTCCCAGGAGGCCCCAGCCCAGGCCCCCCTCCTGTCTCCTGCCTTTCCTCTGTCTCTGTGTGAAGCTCTCTGCTCCGGCCTCTCCCTCCCCCACCTCCTGATTCTGATCCTCTCCCTTGATCTCTAGGTTTGACCCGATAGTGGCTTTCAGCCTGGTGGAGAAGGAGTACGCCTCCATTAGAGGTGTGGCCATGGAACCCTCGCTGCTGGGTGTGACCCGGACCTTCACACTGTTCAAGGACACCCAGCTGATGCGCAGGGCCAGGTGCGAGGGGTGGGGTGGAACTGGGCCGGAAGGCACAAGGTGGGCACAGGAAGGAGACCAACCCCATCCCCACCCCAACTCCATCCCACCCCACTCCAACCCCACCTGGAGAGCTGTGGGAGGTGGACATGCCCCAGGCCCAGTGACTCCCGGGGCCCCTAAACGCCATGTCAGGAACCACAGATGGGCCTCAGCAGGTGCGCTCCAGGAGTTCGCGTTTTACTAATGGATGCACTGGCACACGGGTGGAACGAGGCCCCCCCTTGCGACCGAGCAGAGGTCTTTTTCTTGCGGGGCCAAGGACTGCTCACACTTGCAGTGTGTTCTGGCCCGGAGCCCTCACACTGACCTCCTGTGATATCTCTCCTTCCCGTTTACTCTTTTAACTTGATTAGGCAAATCTGCCATATCCTAGATTTATGAGAAACGACTGCTTTATGAATAGCCATGAAAGATTTGTGGTGATTCCTGATATCTAATAACTACCACGCCTTGTTGACAGAGATGCCTTTGACCACAAACCTGGACGTGATATACACTGCCTAATTTTTTCTTAAGTCAAAGTGTTTTAAATTGTAAACATAGGTCACATTCTGAAAAAGAAATTTTAAAACTACAAAAATATATAAGGGGTCTTCAAAAAGGTCATGGAAAGATTTGTATCATCTTTCAGTTCTGTTTTCCATGAAGTGCCCTCACGTACACTTATATTTAAAATCCCACCCGGCTAAGATGGAGGGGTATCTCCACCTGTCAGTTTTTTCCCTGCCGGCCACCAGCATGTGCATGTTGTGCTCAGCTGTATCTTGAGCACGTCTGGTCCCCCTGTTGTGCTCGGCACGTTCCCAGCTGAACGAAGTGACCGTCCCTTGATCTCCTTCACTGTCTGCTTTCTTCACCCTGATCCTTGCTGCAAATGTCCCCCCGCAGTCTGTTCCCGCTCTAATTTCTTTTTAAGGCAGCATGGACACCTTGCTGTTGGTGGTGGCGAGCCTGTCTCTTCTCAGGGCTTCAGTCCCCACGTCTAGTCTAGCTGTGCTTGATTGGGATGGGTGAGGTGGGTGCCCTCAGTGCTGGAGCCCCAGGCAGCCAAGGACCCATTCATGCGCCCCCTCTCTCTACTTCTCACTCCTGGCTTCACTCTCGCAACAAACCCTGCACTGATCATGCAACCAAAGGTGTTAAATGCTGCAGTGACCATTGCCTGTAATTGTCCTTTTCTCAAATGACTGACTTCTGGAGACCCCACAGTATGAATGGGGGCTTCACGCTGGCCTGGAGCTCATGGTCTGATAGGTGGGGACAGATGTTCTGTAGGTGTGGCCATCAGCACAGGTGTGATCACACAGCACAGGTGTGCTCACACAGCACAGGTGTGCTCACCCACCCCAGGTGTGTCCACTCAGCACAGATGTGCTCACTCAGCACTGGTGTGGCCTCCACCATGATAGTTGCCATGAAGAGGACTTGGGCCACTAAGTAGAAAGGATCCTTCCCCATGATGGGGTCAGGAAGGTTCCCCAAGGAGGCGGCAGACAGGAAGAGAATTGGGAGGGCACGCAGAAGGAAGGAGGGGCGGGCACCAAGGCTGGGGTCACTGTGTTAAAGGATTGCAGGAATGCAGCTGGGCTGGGTCTTTCTGACTCTTGGTTTTTATCCTAAGAGCAGATGAAAGCAAAATAGGGAGGTTGCAGGCCACTGGGAACAATCTTATTGGGTGACCCAAGGCCCTGTTGCCTGCCCCTCCTGTGTCCCTGAGTGAGCCTGGGTGGGCACTAGCGCTGGCTCCCACTGTCCCCCAGTCTGAGCACAGGACACGTGTGAGTCAGTGGGAGCCACTCCCAAGGGCAGAGCTATTTCTGGGCTTGTGGGCTCCTGACCCCCAGGAGTGACCCAGGGACCCTCCAACTGGGGCTTCCTGGACTGGTACCTGCTTCACCCATGCAGAGACCCTGAGAAACACGGGTCTTGGAGAGCCTTTGCTGGGACCATCTAGGATGCATCTTGGGATTGTTACTGTGCACACAGGTCTGGCCGCCTGCCCCCTTTGAAAAATAAACCACTCAAAAGTCAAATGTTGTTGAAAATGAAGTCAGCTTTATTCAGAAATACCGATGACCTGGAGAGAGATGTTAGGCTCACCCACCTCTCCAGTAAACCCGAAGGAGAATGGCCAGACTAAACCCATCTCAAAGACTCAGATTTACTGAGGGGTTTTTAAAACGGTGTTGAGGGGATGAAACACGGGAAATGAAAAGCAGGAGGGAGGGGGACGTGCACGGGGCCAACCCACCTCTCCAGTAAACCTGAAGGAGAGTGGCCAGACTAAACCCATCTCAAAGACTCAGGTTTACTGAGGGGTTTTTAAAAGGGTGTTGAGGGGATGAAACACGGGAAATGAAAAGCAGGAGGGAGGGGGACGTGCACGGGGCCAGGTGCAAGGTCTCACCAAGGCTCTGTCTGCTTTCTGCTCCTGTCCTTGCTATCACATTAGGGTCCTGCTGGAGGGCTGGGATCCGCACAGTGTCACTGATGTCTTCCTTGGCTTCCCAGGTTCTGTACACTTGCAGCTCCAAGCTAGCTGGAAAACAACTTTACATTTATGTAAATAATGTTATCATGCCCCATAACCAAGGTTCGAAATAACAAATAACCGTGGAAAAAAGGGAACTCAGAGAAATGCATGCTAAAAAAAAACTGTGTCTTCAAATTTCTTATAGTCCAGGCATTTTTAGGTCCCAGCATGGTTCCAGTCCTGCTTATTCCAGCAGGGTGACCTTCGGTGTGGTCCTGGCCCAGCCTCGGGGGAGGCAGAAAGGGCAATGTGCCCAGGCCAGGAGCCTCACCTCTAAGTACTTCTTGTCGAATCCCATGACAGCCTGGGAGGGGATTCTGTCCTTTACATATCCCATGTTACTCATGGGGAAACTGAGGCAGGGAGACCTCAGCTTGGCCTCATAGATCCCGGCTCTGCAGTCTCACCAGTCCAGGCTCAGGGGGGCCAATGGCCTCCATGCTCAGGGCGTAGCTGGGAAGGAGATGCAAGTGCAGGGGTCCACCATGGCCGGCAGAGCAGCCTCAGAGCAGTTGACTCACGCCCCCCACCCCCACAGTGACATCCACCTGGCCTAGAGCACACTATTGTCTTCCTTGTGCGCCTGCTCCCCGAAACCCCTCGTGAGGCCTTTGCGCTGTGGCAGATTATGGCCGAGGACTTCCAGCCCACCCTCAGGGTTCTGCTGGATGGTGACCTGGGCCCCTATCACCCTCAACAGTCGGGAGGGAGGGGGCCCTCTGAGCCCTGTGGCATGTGGGTGACTGAAAAAGCTTGGCCACCAGGCCAGGCCAGGCCCATGGGACTCCCCAGACAGCAGGGGCGACGGTGCCCACCCTTGGTGGGGGCAGATGTCACAAGCAGGGGCCACCTTCCATATAGAGGGTCACCTCTGGCTCTGCATCCTCAGGGCTGACCTCTGCCCACCATGGATGTGGCGTGGCCGCAGGTCCTCCAAGTCCCACACTCTGTCTTTCTCCATCATCCGACCGGGGCCTGTTCTCACCTGCTCCTCTCCACTCCCCGGCAGCCGGCAGGAAGTCGCTGACCTACTTCAACCACGACACCATGGCTGCCCTGCAAGAAGTCACCTTCAACCTGCAGGAAGTGAAGAGGCTGTTCTTTGGGAGCTTCCACAAGGTCCTGGAAACACTGCAGCATTGCCCCGCCTGTGGCCTCCCGACGCAAGCTGTGCCCATCTCCACGTGGCCTCCTCCCCAAAACACCTGAACTTGCCTGGAGAGTAAATGCTGGCCTATCTGGGGCTTGTGTCCCACCGTCTCTTTGCCCTGGTTGTTCCCATCTTAACTCGGGTAAAGAGCATCCTAGCCCTTGTCTTCGGGCCCCACAATCCCTGGGAGGTGCCTGCAGCAGGTGTCCCGTGGCCCATTCTGCAGAGAGAAAGCTGAGGCCCAGTGAGGAGGGTTTTCCCAGGGTCCCATGAGCCTTGGGGTGCAGTCAGGATTGTGCACCCAGGCCCCAGGTGATGACACTTGCTCTCCTATTCTGGTCCTGGCCTGGGCTGTGGGGGACCCTCTTGTGCTGTCTGTGCAGGTGCATGTGGCCAGCTGCTCCAAGGTCAGGTTGTACATGGACTGCAGGAGGGTAGCTGAGAGGCCCATCGGGGACGGGGGGATCCCACCCACCACCGGCTTCGTCATGCTGGGGAGGCTGGCCAAGGCCAGGGGTCCTCAGAGCAGCTCAGCCATGGTAAGCCTGGGTCCCACCCTGCCAGGCCAGGCTGGGCCTGTCAAGTGCTGGCGGAGGCTCTGAGCCTCGAACCTGGCTGACCTTGTCCCCCTGCCCCACAGTTCCAGCTCCAGACACTGCAGATCATGTGCAGTGACACCTGGGCAGACAAGGACAGGTGCTGCGAGCTCTCCGTGATGGCAGGTGGCAGCGCAGCTGCAGCCCTTGTCCTGTACGAGGAGGGAAGGGTGAGGGCCCACCAGGCACGACAAAGTCCAGGGTGAACAGGCCCGTCTGGATCATGGCTGTGCTGTGAGACCAGGGCAGGCTTCCTGGAGGAGGCGGCATGAAGGGGCCAGAAGGTGAGCCCAGGGTGGCTGGACGGGATGGTCCTGGAGGCCCTGGAGCAGGCCAAGAAGTCCCAGCTGCAGAGGTGGCAGCTGCTGTGTCCTTGGGTCCCAGGTGGGGGACAGATAAGGTAGGAAGGGATCCATCCAGCCACTGGAAGAAGCCCCCTCAATCCCCAGGGACTCCACAGGGTCCTCCTGACTCTCTGGGTACCGGGCACTGGGCCCAGCTGTGCACACAGGAGGGTAGCAGCCTGCGCCCAGGACCTGCACTCCCCCACCTCCCAGTGTGGGTCTGAAGGTCTCCCTAGAACCCAGGAGTCCTTGGCTATGTGACCTCATAGTCAGACAAGAGCCAGGGAGAGGCCCACTTAGCCAGGAGTCTCTTCTTCCAGAGGGATGGAGAGACATGCCCTGCCTTCCCTTCCGCATGTGTCTGTTCCTCAGAGACCCCCTGGCCCCTGGGGCCCCAAGGACCTTTGGTGAGTCCAGCAGCTGCTCCCCTGGAGGGTGGCCAGGAACTTCTGGCCAACATATTGCTACCATTGGCAGGTGTGGAGGGCCCCCTCACATGCCCCTTAACCAGCAGGAGCCTAGGCCCACCAGCAGCCCATGAGACTGAGCCTGGGCTAAGACCCTTCCCACCAGCTGCGCCTCTGTCCCTCAAGCCCTGAACTTCCCTTCATGGGTGGGGTGCTGACTCCCTCTCTGGCATGGAATCCAGCATTTTCCCAGTGGTTCTATTGGGAGAGGATTCCAGGCCCGGCTGGTCTCTGGGAGTCACAGCCATGCAGGGGCCTCTGTCCTGGATGCCTTGGGCTGTGGCCACTCAGCTCACTGCCGCAGGTGATACAGGGGCCCTTCAGATCCCCAGGAAGGCTGCTCTCCAGGGCCTGGACCACACCATGGGACAGGTCCTAAGATGATGCTATGACCATTGTGGCTGGATCCACCTCTGCCAGCCCCAAGGCTCCAGGATCCATCCTGCAGGCTGGGGCCAGAGCTTCCAGGGCCAGCTCAGGCAGGAACGCCAGTCAAGAGCACTTACTCTGAGCTTGGTGGTCCATAGACCTTTCATGGGGGGGCCAGGGCTTGAACCCAGATCTACCTGAATGCAGCCCATGCAGGGTCAGGGCAAGGCAAGGGGCTAGTTTGTGCCCCTCAGGAGGGGGTGCTTGGGCTCAGCCTGTTTGTGCCTCCACAGGGCCCCCCTGGGAGGACTGACACCCCAGAGGAGCAGGGCTTCCCAGGGCCCAGGGTGAGTAGTATTGGGGAGTCCTGGGGGTGGGGTCCTTGATCTCACCTGCCAGGAGAAAATCCCCCAGCACATTCATGAGAAAGCAGGAGCTACCCGTCACCCTCCCCAGCCAGGGTCTTCCTGAGCTGCAGACAGGCGGGGACCCCGATACCCCATGAAATCAGGGGAGTTTCTGGGCTCCCTGGATAGGCAGAATCACCCCAATGGCACAGGAGGGGAAACTGAGGCTTGGAGAGGCGAGGTCACCTGTCCAGTCGGTGGCCCAGGCCTCTCTGACTCTAGGCGCACGTGCATGCCTCTGTATGCCAGCACAGAGGAGAATACGTTTGTGAGGTGTTTTCAAACGCCTTTAGCCTCAGGTACTTGTGCTTGGGGGTCTGTCGGTGTGTGGGGACAGGGTCTGGCTCTGCAGAGGACAGCTAAGGATGGTGCTGCATGACACTGCACATGCCCGACATGTGCTGTGAGCAGCCCGCCTCCCCCAGGCAGCCCTCCAGGGAGCACTGTATGCCCGTGAGCTCAGCTGTGTGCTGCCCTGCACTGGCTGGTCGTGGTGCAGTGCCTGGCAGGAGGGTTGCATGTCGTGCGTGGAGTTGGCCCGCCCTCTGCAGCCGTGGTCTTGCCCTCCATCAGCGAAGCACGGCGGTGTGGTCTCCACCGTTGCCAACACCACTGAGAAGCTCTCTCTGCATGCACAAATGTGGCTGGAGTTTGAGTGCATCTCAGCATAATGGGTTGAAGGCAAAGGTGCCTGTCCTGAGCGTGAGTGCCACCAAACTGCCCCTGGGGCCGGGCGAGGTGCACCTCCCAGTGACGAGCCCTGTGTGCCCATGGCTAGGGTGTTCTGCAGGTGGACCTGCACTGTGTCCTGCTTGTCCGCTTGGCTCTTGCAAGTGGCTTGGGCACTCTTTGCGAGTCACTAGTGCCTCCTCATGTCACTTTCTCACGGACGCTGGAGCGCCTGTACCTCGTGGGATCAGCGCCTGGGATGTGGGCTGTGACTGTGCTGGCTGCTGCATTCATGCTGACCATGTCTGTGGCCTCAGTGTCCACACAGGCCTCAGGATAACTCCCATCAGGTCAGCGCTACTGGTCCGTCTTGTGCGGCTCTGGAGTTTGTACCGCAGTTGAGAGGCCCTCCCTCAGCCTGAGAGGAGAAAACGCATGTCCTTGTGGTTTCCCCTCATTCTCCTTGTGCCTCTTACACGTGGACACAGATTCTCCTGCAGTTCCTGTGCCATCTCTTCTCAGACCCCAACTGCTGGCCCGTGTCACCCCAGCTGGCCCCTCTGGTGGTGACTGTTCTGCCTGGGCCCTACTCAGGGCCCCTCAAGTGTTCCATCTTTTCCAGGCTCTCTGGTCTGTTCTACTGACTGGTCTGTCTGTTTACAGGCAAGGACACGCTTCCTGTGTTAATCCACATTCATTTAAAATTTCAACATCCAGGAAGGGGTTTTCTTTTACTCCCCCCCCAGAACTTTCCTGGCTTTCCTTGCTCAATTCATTGTCCAGTGAGCTGCAGAATCCACTTGTCCATTTACCGGAACCACATGCAGTCCACAGGGGCTCTCAGGAGCATGCGACAGACACTGCTGTAACGCTGGTCCTCTCATGCAGGAGTGCGGTGTCCTTGCCCGTGTTCAGGGCGAACGTGACCCTCAGTCACACTCGTCGGAGGCTTGTCTTCTCGGTCTTGCTTGGTTCTCGTTTACCCCAAATATTTCGCCTTTTGTTGCTGCTGTGAGTGGGGTCTCTTCTGTCATTGCAGCATCTAACTTGTCACTCACACGCTGGCTATCAGTCTCTGTGCGTTACTTTCGCACCCAGCTTCCTCCCTCAGCTCTCATTGTGATTCTTTTTTATTTTCAGGTGGTTTTCTTGGATTTTTTGCATTTATAATGATACCGTCTGCAAACAGTTACTTCACCTTCTCCTTTCCAATTCTCACAACTCTGTTTTTCTTGTCTGACGGTGTTGGAGAGTGCTCCAGAATTTCGTCCAAGAGCACTGGCGACAGCAGATACTCTTGTCTTCTTGGCTAACAGAAATGCTCCCAGTGTCTATCCACGAAGCGTAGTGGGGTTGGAAGCTGAGACAGAGACATTTTGTCATGTGACAGTAAAATCCACTTACTCTCATTTTATTAGCAGATTTAAAAATCAAGGGTGGGCATTAAATGAGATTTAGTGCTTCTTCGGCTGTAATGGACAGGCTCAATTAATTCTTCTTGGCGTGACTAGCTATTAACTTTGGTATATCCCTAAGTGCTGGACTATTCTCACATCCACAAAAGGGCCAACGTGACCACTGAGTCCTCATCGGCCATTTAACATGCTACAGGATTCTGCCTGCAAACATCTTATTTAGGATTTTTGCACTGATATTTATGAATAAGACAACCTGCAGTTTTCTTTATAGAGTTTGAAATATTATTTTGCTTAATTCAAAAAATAATTTAAAGCATTTTGTTTTGTTTTTTCCCGATCTCGAACAGTTTGAATATTATTGGTGTCACCTGTCCCTTAGAGGCTGGGATCCCAGTGAGGTCTGAGTCTGGCGTTTGGGGTTCAGAGCTCAAGGACAGGCTTCTGTCTCTTCCTTCAACTGGCCTGTTGGGATTTTCTCACTCTTTCTCGGGGATTTCTGCAGCCCCTGCCCCACTGGAACCCAGAGTCAAGGCAGGGGAGCTCTGGGGTGGGGAGTGGATGGAACTGGCTACACATCCTGACTCTGCCATTCACTGGTTTGTGTCCTGGAGGAGCAACCTTGGGATCTAGCCAGGGCCCTCCTGGGGAGGGGTATCAAGGGCCACAGGCCACCTCTGTTCCTCTGTGAAGACATCCCTGATGCCCCCTCAGCCCCTTCCCCTGCCTGTCTCCAGGGAGAGCCCAGGCCACCTGGACAGATGGGACCTGCAGGTCCTGGAGGTCAGCTGGGGTCACCAGGGACACAGCGCTGCATAGTCCATGGGCACGTGGTAGGTCTCACCCTCTCCCCACCCTCACCACCCCCTGTCTCTTCTTCCCTGCTGCCTAGCCCATCTTCCCCTCTCCAGAGTCCATCAGGGGTCAAAGAAGAGAAGGGGGACCATGGACTCCCAGGCTTGCAGGTAGTGTGGTCAGGGCAGGGTATGTGGGCAGGACACATGGGTGGTGTGCGTGGGCAGGGCCTCCTCCTCTGGGTATGATCTTGTCCCCTGCCTGGCCAGCCATGACCACCTCCATTTCTTCCAGGGCCACCCGGGCTACCAGGGCTCCCCTGGGAAAGTCGGCCTCCAGGGACCAAAGGTACTGGCTCTGGGCCTGGATACTGCATGGGTGGGAGAGAAGTGGACCTGGGGAGGGTCTCATAGATGGAGGCGGTGGGGGTGGGGGTGGGGGTGGGGGCCAGGGCAGGCTGTCCTGGCCAGGACAGAGGGGAACCCCAGCCCATACCAGGGACAGGGCCCTCCACTGCCTGGTGGAGGGTGCTTGGCTACATCCACTCTCGCAGCAAGGTGCAGGTGCATGCCTGCCTTGGCCCATGGGTCACAGGGTGCGTCTGGGTGCTGCAGGTGTGCCAATCACTGTGGGAGGGGCATGTATGGGTACAAGCCCCCACCCTAGCTCATCCTTTCCTTTGCCCGGCAGGGAATGAGAGGACTGGAGGGGACTGCTGGTCTGCCCAGCCCTCCGGCCCCAGGGTAGGCACTGCCTCCTCATGGGCCCATGAGCCTGAGGTTCCTTGGGGCTGGGCAGTGTCGGTCTGGGAAGAAGGGACTCAACACTGCCTCCCACTGTGCAGGTCACCCCAGGCACCTGCCAGACCCTTCCGCAGGGCTCTGCAGGGCACGCGAGCATCTGTGCGCAGGAGCGTCCTGCCAAAGCTCTTTCTTGCCCCATGGGGCAGGTTCCTGTGGAAATGCAGCATCTGTACAGCCCCAGCACACCTGCACCCCCATCCATGGGAAAGGCAGGGACTGGGTGCCTGGGTGGGCCTGGGCAGGGGCTTCACCCTGTCCTGTTAGAACTTCTTTCTCTTTGCTTCTGGGTGTGTCAGAGCCCAGCAGCAGGACGCAAAGGGCAGCTCCCCTGCACCCCCTTTGCACACCTCGAAAGCACCTTCCCTCCCACCTCCCCTTCTGCTTCTCAGAGGTCTGTGCTCTGACCTTGGTGCCTGGATGTGGGCAGCCAGGAGGCCCTCATGCAAGGGCCACCTGGATGGGGAGCCACTTTGTGGTCACACTCGGGACAGCTGGAGCTCAGCAAGGGGACAGAATGAGCTCTGGCTGGCAGCTGGGGGTGTGGACAGGGCAGGGACCAGGTTGGGGAGGTTGGCGTTGAGGCATCATGTGCAGGAGGAATGGCCTGAGGGAGGCTAGGACTGTAGGGGTCTTGCCTCTGCAGTGGGGCCCCAGCTTGGAGACAGAGCTGCAGGGGCAGTCTCACTGGAGGTTCAAACCAAGCCTCGACTTCTGCATCTTTGCAGGGGTTCCAAGGCATGGCGGGGGCCAGGGGCACCAGCGGGGAATGAGGATCCCCAGGGGCCATGGGGCCCACGGTAAGTCCCCTCCCTACCCATGAGCCAGAGGCAGGGAATGAACTGTGTTAGTAGAGTCAGCTGCTCGGGGCTCCGCCTTGGGGCTTGTGCAGGTCAGAGTGGAGCTGGGGCGGATTCTGCAGGACAGACCTGGGCGGAGGGGAAGGGAGTGCAGCTGTGGGCTCCTTGGGGAGTGCTGGGGGGACAGACCTAGGAGAGGTGGCAGCAGCTTCCCCTTGGGGAGCCAGCACCCCTGGAAGACCACCTTGGCCTACAAGCAATGGGGGGGCTTTGGCAGCTCCATAGGGCTCCCTTGGGTGGGCCCCAGGATCCTGGGGGAGTTGGGGAGGTGGAGGAAGGCGGTGGGTGGCGGGCACAGGCCTGGCTTCTGGGCCTGGGGTGCCTGGCTCTAGGCTGGGGGGAGGGTCTCCTCTGGGCAGCGTACCAGCTGGTAGAGACCACCATGACAGAACCTCTCATCGCCTGCTCTCTGCCTGCCCTGCTGGGTCACAGACCACTCCCACCCCGCCCACCCTGTGCACTTTTCTCTTTTTCCTCCTGCAACAGGGGCTGCTGGGGCCTAAAGGGGATTGAGGAGAGAAGGTGAGTGAGGCCAAATCTGGGGTCTTTGACTCAGTCCGGAGGTCGGGCATTTCGGGATATGGCACCAGGCGGCTGGTCTGGCCCTCAGCTGTGTGGGTCCCAGAGCCGGCCCGTCTTCCCTCCAGGGCGAGCCCCCATCCATGGCCTCCATGTACCAGCTGGTGAGCCAGCCTGTGAGTCCACCATCCAGAGCGAGTGAGGCCCATGCCCGCCCCGCGCCGCCCCCACCTCCACCTGGAGACCCATGTGGCCCCACAGGCCTTGTGCCTGCGCTCTCCCAGCTGCTGATGCCTTGTCCCCTGCAGCACACATGCTGAGGCTCAACTCCTTCCTTCAAGAGAATGCCAGGCCCCCGATGCCCATCATGGAGGGAAAGAAGCAGACAGGCGGGCCTGGGGCCCTGGAGCCTCCTGGCCGGCAGAGCGAGGACAGAGGTGTGGCATGCTTTGCCCGGGCCCTGGGGCTGGCTGGGGCCTCGTGCTGTGTTGGCCACGCAGCCCCTGATGGAGGCACTGCCCACCCCACCAGTGGCAGGAGAACCAGAGGCTGCCTGGCCTCCTGGGGTCCAAGGCAGCTTCTTCCCAGTCTCCCAAGACACAAGAGCTGCCGGCCTCCCTCCTACCCTTCTGCCTCTCCCCACACGCTGCCCCCCACGAGCATGGTGTCCTCAGGGATCAGTGTCCCCATTGCACCCCCATCTAGACAAGGGTCACGAGGACCCCACCCTGTGCCCCCCCTCCTGCCCTCCACCTCCACTAACTAAACCAACTGCTGAGCTGATGACAAGGCTCCTGTTGGGAGCTCAGGGACCCACCAGACCACGGCCTACAAGCTCTTAGCCTCAACTGAAGGACTGGATGCTGGGAGGCCAGATTCTACCTTCCTACTGGTCAGAACAGGACCTCTGAGAAAGGAAAGCTGTTGCCACCGCACCCTTGGCTCTAGCACATCTCCCCCCAGCCAGGTGAGCCTACAGCCCCCAGTCAGAGGGACAGCCCTGGGCCGCAGGGGAGCCCGTCTCCAGGACCTCAGTGAGGAGCTGGTGAGTCCCATCTACCTGCATGCTGAGGGCACGAGGAAAGGAGGGGCATGTGGGGTGATAGGAGCGCAGGCCACAGGTAGGTGGCCGTGGAGGTGCTGTGGAGGCCGGGTCAACCAACGGACCCTGGACTGGGGCAGCAGAACACAGAGGGGCTGAGCAGCATGGGTCAGTGCAGTGGGCATGTGTGGGGCTCATGGGTCATGGGGGAGCCCAGCGAGGGCAGGAGAGGCCCTGATGGGTCAGCACAGTGGGGAGGTAGAGTCAGGCGTGCAACCTGGCCAACACCTGCACAGATGTGGGGTGTGCACAGGGCTGTGGGAGGGCTCCTGGAGGTATGGGTCAGAGAGTGGGGTTAGGGGGGTGGGATTGTAGCTGCAGATGACTTCTGCCCTTCCTCAGCAGCCCCAGGCAGGTGGCCCCTGTGTGCAGACTCACCTAGGGGGCTGGTTCCAGGAGCAAGTATGGGAACAGGGAATGGATGGGCATGGCATGTGGACAGGGGGCTCCTGATGGGAGGGAATATGTGGATGAGGTCAGAGCCCAGGGCCAGGAAGAGACCTCGTCCTGCTCAGCGGACCAGCTGGAGGCGCCTGTCTCTGCTCTTGTGCTCTGCCCGGGCCCAGCAGGACATGAGCTGGGCCGCTGCGTCCTGAGCTGGTGCCGGCTGTCCAAGGCTGCTCCCAGACCTATCTGCCCTCCTCTCCCAGGAGGTTCCCTGTGCTGCCCCAAGTGACCTGCCCCTGCCCCCTTGGGTGTGTGTGGACTCCACGAGCCACTCTGTCCTGGAGAAACTGGGACAGAAAACCTCAGGAAGAACTTGAAGATAGAAGGAGAGGGTGGCGAAGGAGCCTGGGCAGCCCCCACAGCCCCTCTCTCTGGAGCATTTCCTCATCCAGATAAACCACTGGTTCTCATCAGTCAACCCGAGGCGGCTGCTCCTTACTGGGGATGGTGTCCCCGCCCTTTTCCCTGCTACTGTGTAGCTCCCCTCCTCCCTCGGGAGCCACGGCCCCAGATGGGGCATGGTGGGCAGAGAAGTTCTCTGCGGCCCGTCCCTCGCCTCTGTCACACACAGCCCTTCTCACACTGCCCTCACCCACTGCGCCCGCACAGCAGCGAGCGAAGGGTCCAGCACTGTGGCCCGACCTTCTGCCAAACCCCCACTGGGGGTGAAATCCAGACCCCTCCCCACCTGCCCCAAGACCCAGCACATTTCCTGCCACCCCCACCCCAGGGCCTCTGCACACACTGGGCCCCTCCCTGCAGGCAGCTCCTCCCCAGGTGTCACCGTCACCTGTTGTGCCCCCTCAGAGCAGCACCCCACCAGCCCTGGCACATCTCTGTTGGCCCCTTTGCACCACCATGGCCGCCTCACCCCCTCTGTCCCCAGTCCAGGAAGGAGTCAGATCCTCGAATGGGAGTGACTGCCCCTCCCTCGCCAGCCTCTGTGCTGGGCTCCCCATGTGGAGCCCAGCCCCTTGCCCTTGGGTCTCAGAGAAAGACTGTCCCTCCCAACCCTGCCGTGCTCCATGGCGTCTCTGCCCCCGGGTCTCTGCCCTAAGCCTTATGGATGCTCTGTGAGCCTGGGCCTCTCTACCGTGTCTCCACCACGGTCCCAGACGGGTCTGACACAGCGTGGGGATTGGCCTCTGGGAGAAGCAGGAAACTCCACTTCTTTTTCCAAACAAATGTCTAGTAACTGGTGCACTCTTACCATTGTGCACCGAGCAAGAAAGGGGCCAGGGACTGGAGGGACCCTCGTTCACTCATCCCGCTGCATCACTGGGGGAAGCAGAAGGAAATGTACTGAGCTGGGAGAGACCCTGACGCTGATGACAGGATCGCTCGCCGAGACAGCGGCAGCAACACGGACCCATACAGGCGAGGGCACGGCAGCCTCACGGCCAAGAGCTCGATCCACGGTCACGGAGGATTCCTCACTTGTTCCAAAACCGCCAAACAGGAAATGACAGACAGAGTCGACACGGAAGAGAACGCCTGCACCCCGCGGAGAGGCGTCCCCTCGAGGCCAGTGAGCAGCCCCAATACCAGCTCCCATCACCACACGACAGACAGAAGCAAACGTCAGAAACTCTCACAGGCTTGTGGACAGACGCCCAGACAAGTCACAGGTCAGAGGGGTCAGAGCAGCTTTAAGATGGGTTCTCCCCAAAGCACACGGCCGAAGTGGGGGTGCGGCTACAGCTGCGCTGGGGAAGTCGTAGCCGTAAGTGCAGATGCGGGAGCCCCTCCCAAGCTGGCCCCATGTCCTCCAGGAAGGATGCCAGGTCACGTGGCTTCTGCCCAGGAGCTGAGCCAGCTCCAGACTGTGTGATTAGTGATGCAGCTTGGTTGGGCCACTCTGTTTCTCCAGCATGGGGAATGAAATGTCCCCT